CAGGAATGTCCAGCATTTCAGTGACATGCCTACATGATCCGGAAGTGACATAGGAATGTCAAGGATGTTGGGGGCAACGCTCTGATTTTTGGGCAAAAACTCTGTGGTATAAGCTATTTCTACCATAGAGTTTAATTTTGCCCAAAACCCAGAGTATCACCCCCCAACATGCCTGTGTCACTTTTGGGTCACATAGGCACATCGCTGAAATGCTGGTTGTTCCTCCCTACTCCCAGAAAGTACACACACACATCCTCCGCTGGCTGCTCAGAGGGACCTGGCAACCCTAGTCACCTGGATAGTGAATATGTGAACATTCATAAGAGTGAGGAGTGAAATCTTGCTGGGAGCAATACTGTTGGGAGAAATTTAATGCTTTGAAGGGCAATGGAATCCTAAAAAAGATAGGCCTTACTTTTTAAATCTTATATTCTAATAGTGGTTGGGTACTTAAATCTACTTAAATCTGGTGATCAGAGCTGTGAAAGGACAAGAAAAGCCCAGGTTTGCAGAAAAATGTGAAATGTAAAAAAAAATACTTTGGGGAGTTTAAAAAACCCAAAAAATGATAAAAGGACCACCTATATATTTAAACAATGGATTCCCTCAGTGGCTGTTGCTAGGCAACCACTGTATTCCAGGCTTGGTCTGTCAGCAAAAGGCAGGGCCCTTTCCAGGCCTATTTTGGCCTTTGAGGAAGAACTCATTGGGTCAAGTTCTAGGGTTTCCAGCTCCAGTCTGGGAAATTCCTGGGTATTTTATGGTAGAGTCTGAGGTGGGGAGAGTTTGGGGAGAGAGGGGACACACCTCAGCTGGATATTATACTGTAGAGCCCACCCTCCAGAGGAGTCATTTTCTCCAGGAGGACAGATCTCTGTCACCTGGAGTCCAGTTGTAATTCTGGGAGATCTCTAGGACCCACCTTGAGGTTGGCAACCCTAGGACTGGCAGTAACCACAAGGTGACTTGTGTAACTCAGCTAAGCCTAGCTGCTTGTTACTGTTCAGTAGCAGCCATCGTAGAAAAGCCAGTGTGGTGTAGCAGTTAGAGCTTCAGAGTTGGGTCTGGGAGACCCAGGTTCGAATCCCCATCATGCTGTGGAAGCTCACTGGGTGATTTTGGACCAGTCACATACTTTCAGCCTAACTTACCTCACAGGATTGCTGTGCAGATAAAAAGGAGGAGGAGAGGAGAATAACATAAGGTGCTTTGATCCCCACTGTGGTGAAAAGTGAGGTATAAATGAAGTAAATAAATAATAAATGTAGCTGAAGATGGGAGGCAAATAAAAGGTAGGGTGATGAGTGGCTGAGAAGGAGGGAATGAAGCAGAGACATGGCAGAGGATATGGGGGTTGCCAGGAAGAGGGAAGGAGGAAGGAAAGAGGAAATAGTGCGGGAAGGAGGATACAGAGGAAAGTGAGGTGCCACCCCATGAGTCCTTAAGGATTCCCTACCATGTAAGTAGGCCTGGCCCAGTGGCTAGCACCACATAACTGGGCCACAGTTTTCCTAGGCAGAGTTAGGGTCCAGGATGCCAGCCTCCAGATGGGCCTGGGGATCCACCAGAATTACAGCTCATTTCCAGACTACAGAGATTAGTTCCCCTGGAGGAAATGGATGCTTTGGAGGTTGGACTCTATGGCATTGTACCAAACTGAGGTCCCTGTTCTCCCCAGGCTCCATCCCCAAATCTCCAGGAGTTCCCCAACCGGGATCTGTCAACCCTACCACACATCCCCAGGGGAGACCCGGAAACCCTAGGTAGAGGCTGCGGGGGGGGGGGGCTTAAGACTGAGAGGCAGATAAACAAATGGCTGTTGGCTGGAAAGGAGATAGGGTTGCCAACTCCAGGTTAGGAAATTCCTAGAAAATGGGGGGTGGAGCCTGAGGAGAGGAGGGGTTGAGGAGGGGAAGAACCTCATAGGGGTATAATGCCATAGACTAGATGTATTTATAAATATATTAATGATGAAAAATATTTTTTAAAAACGTGAGAAGCAACATCCAAATTATTCACCATATTTAAACAACAATTTTGGCGACAAAAAGAATCTGTAGGCACAGTTGTAATATCTGCAGATATTTTCCAACCATTACAAATATTTTTCCACACAAAATATATATTAATACTATATTTTACCACCACTGCAGAGCATTTTAGCTTGCATTTTACTAAATGCTTGCACACCCCTGAGGAAAATAACACCCTATCTATAGAACCATTTTGGGTTTGGGAAAAGGTCCGGGGGGGAAGCAGGACCCCCCCCCCGGCAACATGGTCTCAATCCATATCTTGTCCTTGTAGCACTTCTAAACACAGGGAACGTAGCTTCATAGGATTGTACTACATGATGCCCATCCATGCATAGCGTATTTACAGTTCAGTGTAAAACTTGGTCTTTACCCAAAAAAATCCTGTCATTTAATTTGTGCGGGGCAATTTCTGCATTTAGTAGAAGCATAGCCAGGCCTGTAAATTATTGCTTAACTTTGAAATAGCTGTCTCACAAGTTGCATAAATGCAGT